GGACTGGCTGGGTGCCTGGTTTTTGGAGGAAGGGCCCAAAGTGCATGTCAAAGCCGCCGAAGACATTTAACCACTCGGGCACGGCGCTCACCGGCCGCGACCCCTCGCCCACAGCCGCACGCACAGTCCGCGCGGTGGTCTGCGCTGTGCGTTGACAACCAGTCCGTCTTGCTCTTGTGTGGTGAGGAAAGCTTGAAAGCACCGAAAGCTTGTTTTACTTTACAGGCAGCTGTACTCGTCACGTAAATCAGAATAGGTAACATAGACATATATGTTTTCAGTATGTTATTTTTAAATGGTCACAATTTTATTTTGATAAATGAAAAGTTAGAAAAGTCACATCACGGCTGTCGGCTAAAGTCGCTGTGCGTCCATCTGCGGCTGTCGACTATAGTTGACGCTCGGCTGTGCACGTCCATCTGTGGCTGTCGGCTACAGTCGACGCTCGTGCCGAAGCGGTTAAGAGTCAAGACTGCTCCCCAAAGTCTGGGCAAACCCAGCATTTAAATGAACCATTCTGGTAATTTCCAAATGATTTCCAAATGACAGAATCTTAAAACTGATTATACGGTCTAATTATTGATAAGAAATAGAATCAGATTATGCCAAGCACAGGTACAGGGTGGGCGGGTCGTTTGTCCCGTGTGAAGTTCTGTGCCACCTGCCGTTCCCTTCCGCTGTCCTGCCCCCTCTCGTGCACTGGAAGCCGGGGCCGGAAATCAAGGACAGTCCAGGTGGGTTCCAGCCCCTCGAGCCACTGGCTCTGCGAGACCACAGACAAGAAACACGCAGGCCGGGCTCCCAGAGGAGGGCGCGCCGTCTCTGGGGCTCTCCGTGTGCCTGTGACTTGGGTCCCCCTTCATGTTCCTACATTATGGCCAGGCGGGCGCTTGGTGACTGCCGCGTGTGCCGGGAGCCCATAGGGACCAGCTCACTGTCCCTCCCGCCACCCCTGTATAAGGCAGGTCCCGTCTTGCCTCAGTTGTACAAATGGGGAAACTGAGGCTGAGTGGCTCAGGGACTTGCCCAGGTTCTAGTGTCAGGAAACAAATGTGCTGGCCGGCTGCTTGGGACGCTGCTGTGACGGTTCACAAGCAGGTGCTGGGGGCAGGCTCAGAGCAGGGCAGGGACAGCCACCGCTCCTTCCAAGACCAGGGATGTCCGGCTCCGTGTGCGTGTGCTGGTTGCAAACCACAGCGGCACCGCGACAAGCACGTCACCGCCGGGAAGTGTTAGGCTTTCCTAGAATGCCATGTGCTGATGTCGTTTAGAAAGCAACAGCTTCTACCCAAATGATCCAATGACACTCTACAAAAAAGACACCTGCACTCGAATGTTTATAGCAGCACAATTCATAATTGCAAGGCTGTGGAAACAGCCCAAGTGCCCATCAATCCAGAATGGATTAAATAAACGTGAGTATTGTATACCATGGAGTACTATTCAGCTCTAAGAACCATGGTGATATAGCACATTGTATATTTTCCTGGTTAGAGCTGGACCCATACTAGTAAGTGAAGTTTCCAAGAATGGAAAAACAAGCACCACAATATACTTCACCAGCAAACTGGTATAACGAGCAGCACCTTAAGTGGTCACATAGGTATACGTAATAGGTATTGGCAGATGGGAGGGGAGGGGGCGGTATATACAAAATAATGAGTGAGATGTGCACCATCTGGGATGGGCATGATGTGAACTCAGAATTTTGGGAGGGAATGGGGATTTATTGAAACCTTAAATCTGGTACCACCCATAAATTGCGAAATAAAAAAAAAAAAGAAAGCAACAGCTTCTACTGACTCCAGCAACCGTGTGCTGGTGCCGGTCTAACCGCGTCTTCTGCAGGATGGACGCATCCGCCGCAAGAGCCCGGCACCCGAGAGCAGGAACGCGGCCGGGCCGGCGCCCCTTGAATTTAAGTGGGGTGGCTCAGCTCTTCCAAAAGGCAGCGTTGTAAAGCCTCCACAGCCGTTGGTGAACGCCGGCCACCCAGGTGGAAGCGCCGGGCGCCGGCTGAAAGCTGCCAGCGTGGCCGTTCACGCTGCCTGCGTAGACACAGGTCACCATTAGACTTTTAAAAAAAAAAAATTCAATCCACATTTTTTCTCTAACCGGTTATCGACATTTGTCTGAAAATTTTTGAAACTTTATTCCAACAGACAAAACAGAAAAATATTTGTTTGACCATTTTCATTTATTTTCCACCAACTGAGCTGGCGAGGTTCCTCTTCACCGAACACCCCTGGGGCACAATTGTGTACGTTCTATGATGTGCTTTAAGTCACCCCAACGGCTGCCATTTTCCTTCCAGGCTAAATATAGTCTGACGATAACACGGTCCCAGGTAGGGAACAGGATGTGAACGGGGAGGACCGAGGGCAGAGGGATGGATTCGGAGTCAGGATTTCCTGCCGGGCTCCGGCACCCTTGTGGAAAGCCCCTCGTGGGGGCGTCCCGGGCAGCCAGGTGCAGATTGTGCCTTTGGCCCCTCCCTTCCCTCCCCAAGACCCCCTGTCCTCCCCCACCCCCCATCCAGACGTTCCCAGGGAGGAGGAAGAGGAGGGAGGGGTCCTTTCCACTCATACCCGGGTTGGAGTTGAAAGCCCCCATCCCCCGCCCACCCAGGCGTGGCCCAGCCGTGGGGCCCAGCAGGCTGACCACCCAGTCAGAGGGGGTGGGGCCAGCGGGGCTAGGAGAAGGGGGAGGCCGAAGGAATGGCGTGGCTGCACCACGATTGGGCTCATCGTTCAATTTCTAGGTCATTCTGATCCCCCCCCCCATTTCATTCTCTGTTGTCCTTAATGTTGTTTGCAAACTGGGGAGTCCTGGAGATGAGGGGTGAAAGAGGGTCAGTGACTGTAAGTGAGAGAATGCGGAAGACTTGTGTTTTTTGGGGGGGGGGCAGGCGTAGCGTGCCCTGTATGCGAAGTCCCAGGGGGTTCTCCATGGCCGGGTTAGGCGCACTGACCACGTGTGTTTCCCAGCAAACAGGCTGGCGGCTCGGCAGGTTGGCCGTGCAGTTGAAGAATGGCAAACGCACAACGTTGTGGCACGTTGGAGATTTTCACTTCGGGCTGCTGGGCGTTTATCCATAAAAGCATCGCTTCCGTTGCATTAGGTCTCGCCATCCTTTTCAACTGCAGGAGCCAAGTCAAACTGTCTTAAGCAAATTGGCCATTCACTGGCTCATGTGCTTGGAAAGAGACGGTTCTGGTGGGTCTGGATCCAGAGGTTCCAGAGCGGCCAGCAGGACGCCGAGTTTCTCCCGGCCCTCGGGTGACCTTGTTCCCGGGAAGGCGCATCCCCTGGGCAAAGCAGGCACGAGCTCCAGGCCTGGGTCATCCTTGCAGCCGGCCGCCCCCAGGACAAGCCAGGCCGCTGGCTCTACGGGGCTGTGCAGGGCCTTCGTTTTGGGCGTCACGCCCATCTGTGAGCAGGCATGCGCCCAGGGAGCGTGTGCAGGCCTGGGCCCTGTGCCCTCCCAGCGCGGGGTCTCGGGCAGAACCATTCTCTCCTGGATTACACGGGATTGTTGGCCCACAGAAAGAAGGTTCCGTTCGCCAAGAAGGGGGCTTGTCTGCAGAGACCCCCACATGCCCAGTGCAATGCCGGCTGGTACCGAAGCTGCAATCGCAAGTCGTAAAACAGGATCAGGAACTGTGTTTGTGCCTTTAAATAATTGACATGTAGTTGGGGATATAAAACAAGGACAAAGAAACATGCAGAGCACTGATTCTCAGCGTTGGCTGCACGTAGAATGATCTAGAAAGCACTACAAGTGCTCATGTGCCAGGATTCTGGCCCCAAAGGTTCAGTTTATCTGGGCGGGGTATTTGTGAAGCTCCCACGTGTCTGCAACGAGCACCTGGGTTGTCCCGGGCCCAGGCCCCGGAGAATGTCCAGGAAGCAAAGACAGTGCTGATGACCCGCAGCTGGAGTGTCGCGTTGGGGAGACGGGCCGTGCGGGGGCTGGGAATAGCCAACAGGGCAGCTTCTCTCCTTGTGGCCCCTCTGGGCCCCTCTGACGAGAGGAGCAGGAGGTGCTGGGAGGAGCTGGGAGGGGCAGGCCCCACAGCTGCATGACATCGACCGGGGGCAGCAGCCTTCTCATTTCGTTTAGGGACAATTCCGACCCTCTTCTTCCTCCTGATATTTGCACCATGACTATCAGCAGGGGCAAAGGGGATGGCCTTGCATGTTGGCCTCTTTCTTTAGCTCATATTTTAGGGGCTAGAAGCCAAGGGACAGAGGGCAGAAAAGGAATATGTCAGGAGGAAAGATCACGGATAAAACAGAAAATGAAAACTTGGCCCCTGCAGTATCCCATGTGCAATGATTGGAATAAGGATATTCACTTCTGTTCTCAAAGATGCTGAAACCATGCTGCCAGGTAAAATCTCCAGGTTTTCTCCACACCGTTCGAGCCAAAAAAAAGAGGCTTGGGAAGGAGAAAGGAGACCCAGGCATAAGTGCTTCTGGGTCTGAAACCCTGTGACTCAGCACGATTGAAATTTTAAGTACACATGTGTTATTAGCATATAACAGATTAAAACGAAATCTGCGGACCAAAAACCTGGCGTGAGGGTCTTCCATATCACAGAGAGTTTAGAGTTCACCTTGAAACGCCTGCCCGCCCCATTGGCGATGAGACCAGCGCTTTGGTTAAATATTGTGCCGCTGGTGCTGAAACAAGAGACTTTTTTTTTTTTTTTCGGTTGAGTTTTGAGGTTGCTGATGGGCACATCATCACTTCCTTTGGCTGAATTTTAAAGTTGCACAAAAGTCACAAGTTCCCTTCTTTAGGTTTTCACCGAAGGGCTTCCTGAGAGCTAGAGAGACTCTTCCAAATATTTAAAATCATGTGGAGATTAATGTTCAGGAACAAGAAGTGCACAGGCGCGGTTAGTGCGGTTGCGGGTGTCCCGGCCGATGCGGTTGCGCGCTGTCAGTACGCCCGGGGCCTGACGGCGTTCTCTCTTCACTTTCTGTTTTAACAGGGCAAAGTTGACGCGGCCTCGCCGGAGACCAAGGCAGCTGCGTCAGCAGAGGTAAGAAGCCTTCCTGCGGGCTTATTTTCTTTCCTACGTGCCTTGTGAGTTGCATTTAAAAACAAAACAAAACAAAAACGTTAGACGTGATGTCTGTTTCATCTTCTTGGGTTGTTTCACGGTGCCCAAAGTCCAGCGAAGCGCGCTGCAGCGTGCTCTCAGAAGGGAGGGATGCTGCGCCGTGAAATGTAAATTTTCTGACGCTCGGTGTGGAGCTGAGTGCGTGGAGTTGTGCAATCTTGTCTCTGTACAGCAGGGGTCTGCCTTGCCCGCGGGACCGGGAGTGTCATTTCGCTGTGCGTTACGCCCGTGAGTTTTACTCTGAAGCTGCGGGTCGTTTTATGCGCGGCGTTCCTTTTAAAGCCCTGCTTCCTGCCTTCGAAGCTGGGGTCACAGGCGGCGAAAGAGACGTGACGCCCAGACAGACCCGGGCCGTCGAGGCTGGCGTGGCGCCGGCTGGCCATGGGATTCTCGGGCCGGTGGCGAGCAGCTGTCAGACCTCAGGGCCCGTGTGAGGTTCGGGTCTCGGCGGCAGCTCTTCTAGGAATCAGCCCTCACGTGGACGCTTTCGGGCGAAGGTAGATGTCTCAGCCTATTCCAAGCAGCTGTCTGGTTTTAATGCCATTATAAGTAAGAAAACTCGTAAGGTGGTGTAACGGCTGTTTGTAACTCTTCCGGCCCCGGCAGTACACGCGTGTGATGACCTCGCGTGTCACGGCGATGCCCCGGGGCCTGCCATCGTCAGCACTCGGGGCAGGCAAGGCGGGCCTCTTCTTGGGGTGGGGCTGGAGGGTCAAACAGGTCGGTTGGAACTTGCCTTCCGGTTAGGCTCATGTTCATCCTCGCCGATGCGTTAATTCGCGTTAGGCAAAAACAGTCCTGATTTCCCGGCAGCTTCCTGGAGCTCTGCCGGGGGGCCTTGCCGAGGCAGTGGGCAAGACCAGGACCCGCCGAGGCTGGTCTCAGGCCGCTCCCCGCCCTGTGGGAAAGGTCCCGAATCCCACTGCATTACTTTTCCCGTATTTGTGGCGCTCCCGTCTGGGCCTGAACGTGTTTCTGTTTGTTTGTTCCCTAAGAGCTGGAAGGAACCTATTTTTACTCACAGTTTAACACAGAGAATTGGTTGACTAAGAGATTCTTGATACTGTTATCTTGCACAAGTTGAATTTGCTTATTACACATACGGATTATGTCAGTAGAATCCTGTCGTTAATGACAACTGATGGGTGGCCACAGAAAATCTCAAGGTGGGTCTAATCCTAATTGTTTTAGCTAAGCAGCTAGACGAATCCCCGAATACTATCTTGAATTGCACCCTGATTTAAATAAACTCAGAAAACAAGCAAATGCTGTGGTAGGGAGGATTATAACTTTTTGCTCTTTTCCCATAATCTTTTTTTCAGTCTAGTTTATAGCCTGTGCAAGAAAGAAATGGTTGGTGATTCTTGGCAAAACGTCATTTGGCTTTGTGTGTACTGTGAGGAGCTGCGCTTCTCGGCAAATCCGAAGTTGTGTTGTCAGCATCTGTGTCTTCACGGTCCAGGTGTGGCCCAGCCACACCAAACAGGCATGCAGAGCTTCCCTGTGGAGTGTGTTGCTCTGGTCTTGGTCACAGGCGTGAAGATGGCCCGTGGAACACGCTGGGGCTTGGGGGCGTGCACCCTGAGCTCGGGGACGGCCAGACGGTGTGGGTGCCCTGGGGAGATCGGGCCGGTCCCCGCGGTGGTGTCCACAGCGTCTCTGTGGGTGGACGTGTGAAGCTGTCTCTGTCGGACACTGCTTCCCGTCCCATCCTGGGCCAAGGCACGGGGTGCCCAGGAGCAAGTGACCCCATTGTCTCTGTACGGCCCACCCAGCATGGCCCCTCTGCTCCGTGTAGCCCCGGAGTGGGTTAAGCGCCTGGCCGTGTTTTTCAGAGTCATCTGGGGTATGATAGGAAGGAGTCCCTTACGCTCGGGATTGAGAAACACAAATCAGACCTCACACGGCATGACCAGGGAGCACCCAGGAAAGCGTGGAAGGGTGGTCAGGTAGCAGCGTTTGCAAGTTTGCAAGACTTTAGCTTTCCCTCTGCCAGTTGCTCTCTTCTCTCTCTCCCCCACCCCAACCCAAGCTTCATACATATATGTGAACATTTGTTTTAGAGACGGAGTCTTGCCGTGTTGCCCAGGCTGGACTTGAACTCCTGGGCTCAAGCAACCTTCCCCGCCTCAGCCTCCTGAGTAGCTGGGACGACAGGCATGTGCACCACCATACCCGGCTTCTCCATACATGCTTTAAATAAGACTCTGCAGAAGTTTGTGCTAAGCAGATTGCAAGTTAGAGGATCGCAGGGTCTCCCATTGTAAACCCTGATGTAGGTGTGACCGCGGGGGCAGGAGCAGGCGCTGCTGCAACGTTGACAGGAAACATTGAGGTATTCCACAAGGACAGTCACAGAACCTGCCCATCTGGCAGACATGCAGCCACCAGTGTCTTTCATGTATTTTACCTTATAAAACCTACAAAGTGCCTCCAGTGTGACAGCTAGTTGAATTTCCTTTCTCTGCCATGACTCACTCTTTACCTATTGGGCTTTACGAGAAGAAATTTTAGAACAGAGACGAGGGAGGTTACAATTCCCCGTGGGGGACGTTCTTTTTTGTCTGCCTCCCCGGCCCCCACCAGAGCAGGAGGGCAGCCTAGGCAGAGCCACCTTTGCTCTGACGTGCTCTCTCGGTTTCCCCCCTCTTTTTTCTCTTTTCTTTCCGTTTTGGGATGAGCATGCCTGTCCCATTTTATAGACTTGCATTTTGCAATCATCTCGATTTGGTGGAACTTGAACATAGAAATTGTTCCCTTGATTCCCTGCTACTCGAAGCAAGCAATGGTTATTACGGTGTCGTGGTGGAGGCAGGAGTGGCGAGGTGGCGGGTGGAGAGACAGAGGCAGCCCGTGCAGTCCCTAGACCAATAAGGACAAAGATCCCAAAGCTTGCGCCCAAGCGCGAGAACAAGCGCTGTGCCTGGGCTTGCCGGACACACACAGCAGCAGTGGCGGCTGCCTGCCGGACACCAGGTTGTGTGTGCGTGTTTATGTGTGTGTGTTTAGTGGTGTTGTTTTCAATTCTTAATGATTTGTGAAACAGTCTGTTCTATTGTCAGATACCTTGATGTGCAAATAAAATAATGAGCTGACCCCAACATGCTTTTTGATCCTTTGAAAAGCATGTCAGAGAGTTGCGATGCCGCTGCTAAGCCTGGCACATACTGGACACTCAGCAAACGCTGGCTGGACACCAGCCCCCTCCGGCCTCACTTGGGGCTTGCTGTACAAAGAGGCCCCGTCTGCAGGGCACTGAGAGACAGCAGTGGCCTCCAGCAGAGTCACGGAATTAACTTTCGAGTCCTGAGCCTGGGACAGGGGCTGGGCTCTTTCTGTTCTGCCTTCTTTTAACCGCGCTTTAATCTCCTGCTGCCACCCCCTCCCCTTCCCCAGACCAAATTGATCCTGAGCCTTTTTAATCTTGGCTACAGGGCTGGATTTTCTGCTTCTTTTTGTCTTTTTCATCACGTCATTCTTCGCCTCTGCCCGGAGTCCTGAGGCTCACGCGAGGGCAGTCACAGACGTGCTTTGCTTTGTCGTGGAGTCCGTCACGTGGAGGTGATAGGTTATGTTAACACTGGGTGGAGCATCAGGAATAAAATAGAAACGTCTGGTTTCCAGCCTGTTTTCAGAGACAGAAAGCCGACTGTGGAGCTGGCTGTTGTCGCAGAATAGCTGAGCTGTCCCTCTTTGCTGGGCGGCTCCCAGCCGGGGGCTCCTCATTCACGCACCCCGGCCACCTCGTGCCGACTTCTGGGCGCAACGAGGGTTTCAGACGGGGGCACGTTCCTGGCCGTGTGAGCACAGGTGGGGCGGGACAGGAACGCCAGGGCCACGGGGCACGAAGGTGGGCGCGGCATCCACGGATGGGGCAGGTGTGCACGGAGGGCGGCTTCTGGGACAGAGGCGGCAGCAAAAGGGGGTACCTCGACCGAAAAGGAGCCGCTGTGCTTTTCTGCATATCACCCCTGAATGTCACTGTGGGGACAAACACGCTGCCATTCCCGCGTTCACTGCAGGCATCGGGTGGCCTCTCAAGATCGTGTACGGCGCTGCGGCAGAAGCCAGTGAGGGCGTGGTCAGAGTCGGAACCGGAGCTAGGGAAATCCTTCTGTCCGGTCATACCTATAAGTTTTCTTTTGGGATAATGGAGAAAAACCAAACATTCACTTTAGGAAAATAGATAGACCCTGGAGGTCTCAGGAAGGTCACGTCTGCTGAAGGGGCAGAATGAATCAGATGTAAGCTTTGAGTCTTTTAAAGTAGTTCTTTGTTTTTCTTTCTTATGTGTTTATACACACATATGTAAACACATCCGCATGTGCAAACATATTATATAATATCTATATATATGTACAGTGTGTATTATATAAATATACCATATGTTTATACAGGTATTGATGTAGATATAGGTACATTTGTTGCTTTGATCGCCAAGTTCTTTTTACAAGCAGTTTTATTGGAAGTTGCCCGTCCATGGTCAAGGGTGCCCTTCCATCTCGTCTGAGCCCCGGCGCCCGGTCCCCCGTGCCTGGGGGCGCTCGGGGCCCACGGTCTGGGATGGTGCATCCCACAGCCCACCTGAGCCCGAGCTCCTCCCGGTCACGGGCTGACCCAGCTGGCCCGCCTGGCCTTGGGGCGTTGCTGCCCACCCGTCCCCAGTCCAACTCCCTCTTTGTCTCATCATGATCTAATTTTGTGCTTTCAATTCCACCAACGCTGCTCTTGTAAGGACAAGGAAATGGCCCGGAGCCGTTAGATCCGACGGGCGATTTTCCAGCACATCCTCCACCAGCTCGATCCTCGGGCAGCGGCGTTCCATGGCCACTCTCCTTTGGGAACAGCCCCCTCCTCCTCTGTGGCGGGGCCAGACCCTCCAGGCTTCCTCTTGCCTCCCGGGCCCCTTCCTGGAGTCCTTCCCTTCCGCCCATCGATGCAATGCCCCCGACCTGAAACGCCCCTGGACGCAGGGCGCTATCTGCAGGCTCTCCCGTGCTCTGAGCGGGTGCCCGGCCGGGGTCTCCCTGGCGCCCCCTCTTCCCGGGATTGGGGTCCTGGGCTCGCCAGCAGTCGTCCCCCAAGTCGGGAGCAGAGCCATGCACTGCACGTGGCGTTGAGAAACTGGGTGCAGGCCGGGCGTTCCCCACCTGCACACCCGGAAATGCCCTCCCCGTGTAGACCTCTCTAAATGCCGCCCGCTGTGCCCAGCTGAACAACAAGGAGCCTGAAAGACGTCGCTTTGCCGCAGTTCACGGAGAGCATCGTGGCCGGGAGATGCAATTCAGTGTTTGGTGGCAGACGTGCAGACAAATCCTGCCGTCGAGAATCCAAAGACAATCCTTTCGGGGATTGCTTCACAGAGTCTCTTTCCCAGGACGTCTACAGCTCCTGCTCTGTTGTCGACTGTTTAAAGCCGGTGACCGCTATGGGACGTTTGGGACCTGCCTTACTTACTGCAGCAGACTGACAGCAGCCAGCACCCGTCCGTCCGTCCGTCTGTCCGTGCCTCTGATGAGCGACATGCTCTTCCCACGCTCTCACACGGACAGGCAGGTCACGGACAGACGGACGCCTCTGACTTTCTTAACTGTTTGTTCCAGGGCCGTCCAGGGTCCTCGCTCGCCGTCTCTGCTTCCTTCCCTTCCCCAAGTCCCTCCGTGACGCCGACTGCGCTCCCGGCCTGCTCTAGCCCCTCACACACGCCCACTCCCTCGGCCCACGTGGTCTCTCGTGGTCTGCACTCCCATTGTGTGGAGGAGAACGGCAAGGCACTTCCCCGTGCAGGGTCACACAGCCGAGAGGCGGGGCCTGGATTTGGCCTGAGCAGCCTGGCTGTGGCGTCTCAGCCCCTCGCTAGGGTGCACGGCATGGACGATTGCTGAAATCGAAGATAATTTGTTTCTTGCAATTTATTTTGAGGCAATAAATAACAATTTTACATTTGCTTTGTGTAACCCTTTGACGACTCAGAAAGAATTTCAAATCGCTCTCAGTCTTGCTTTTTCCATGCAAAGCAAATGACGCCTGACAGGATTCAGCCGGGCGCGGAACCTCAAGCGCAGGGCTCCTGCTCCCATCCTGAGGTTGCCGCGGGGACTTCTGGGTTAGCGGGTTCCAGATGTCTTCTTAAATGTGAGACTCCCTGTTTAAAACGATAACAATAAATCACAGATCCCGTATTAGAGGAGTATATACTTTTATTATCTCAATCCACGCATTGAGGAAAGTCACGTGAAGCCGCCAAGGCCTTCTAAGCAAAACTGAATTGCATTCACCGTGGTAGAATTCACATTCGCAGCTGGTGTCGCGAGTCCGTGTGAAGCAGTGTTGGATCCGCCTGTAGAAGGAGACCCGAGTGCCTGCGTTTTCACCAGTTCTTTGCGATGGCCTCAGCAGCCACAGGCCCGAAACCCAGAGCTCGGGTGTGAGACCCAGGTCATGCCTGTCTCCTTTTCCTTGTGTGTCCTGGGAGTGAGAGAGGGATGGAAGACGGTCTCTCGGGAGCCGTGGGCTGTGGGACAGCCGCTCCTCCATGGACTGGGAGCGAATGGACTTTGCCCGAGGCTGAGCGAGGCTCCCAGGGGCGGGCACTCGGGGAGGACTGTGACCTCACACCGGCTTACAGCCCCACGTGCGATCCCGAGTAAGGGGCCGTCCCCCACGGATGCTTTCGCTTCTACGTGTGTCTTCGCAGAGCCCACGTGCCGCGACTACTGGGGGGGGGTGGGGAAACTAGGATGCCATGTTCTCTCCTCTCTTTCATACGCACACACGTACGCACACACACATGCACATACACGAACACACATACATGCATATACATGAACACACATACATGCACAGACCCACACACATGTACACACAAACACATGCACATGCACACACGCACGCATGCACACTTATTGCCCTGAAGGTGCTAAAGACCCGGCTGGCGTGGTGAAGGGTAACAAGCGAGGATCGTGGAGTTCTGGGTCTGAGGGCCGCTGTGGTGGAGTGCGGGCCGGGGAGATCGAGGGCGGGGAAAACACGCCGCAGCCCCACCGCTCTCCTGCCCCTTTGCACGGCGTCCTCTTTAGGCCTCAGTTTCCTTTCTGTGGACGGGATAATACCTACAGTTTCTGCCCCTCGTCTTGGTCCAGAGGGGACGGCTGTGCTTCCATGGTTACTGAGAAGCACAAAGACCAAGGCCTGCTTCGCACACCTGTCCGCAAGCTCCCTCCCCCGAGGCCACCTGCTGGGGCTCTCCTTGGCCACTCCCTCGGGGGCTAGGGCTGCAGCTCCGCCAACCGGTTTCTCGGTTCCCATAGTGAGTCTGGGGGAGCCAGAGGGTAACCCGCACCCTCCACACTGCCTCGGACAGGAGGGGACATCACCCCATTCCCATCCCCCAGGGAGGACACAGCGTGTGCGCCCCCCGCTTGCCTGGGGCCAGGGAAGGGGAGCGAGACGGCAGGCATAGGGCCGTCCTTGACACAGGTCTGGTACCGTGGGCGTGATTCTGTGTGGGCCCAAAGGCAGGCAGGTGAAACACTAGGTTTCTCGAGGAAGACACAAAGTAGCACTTCAAGGCTGAGATTAAGACGATCTGATGGAAATGCGAGACAGATGCTTTTGTTGTGTGCGGCGTTGTGCTCGGGCCTCATGGTGGGAGCATTTCGGTTCTGTTGCTGCAAGATGAATGCCCAGTGACAGCAGCAGCAACTCCTTTAAAGCTGTGGCCGATAAACAGTGATAGCTGTTTTTTCCAAAATAATTTCTTTAAAAATATACTTGGAAGATGAGTAAGCCAAGACTGTTTTGACAATTTCCCATGGCATAGACTGAAAGGCAATTTCTTGCCTGAGTCACCATGACAACATTCAGTCCACAAACTTAACATCCACCTGCAATTAACTTCCATTAAAAACGCAAGGTTTCTATTGCAAGCCCACTAGAGCTCGCATCTGGCCAGAGACCAAAGCCCGGTCCATTTTGCTAATGCACTTTCAAAAGCACCGAGTCCCGGATAATTGCCTTTCCGTTCTTATGGAGGCTTGAATCGAATTGCTTTTAGGTGACTCCGAATACAGTCACTAAGAGCCCAGTAATTTTAGGTGGGGGTTATTCAGAGCTTCCCCTTCTCCGTCTCTCCCATGTAGTTCTCTTTTTCTCGTTCACCAACTTGATATTCATGCCCACTCTGTCGGACTGGAAACAGGAGAGCAGGCTGTTCCAAGTGCTGCCAGCAAAACATGTGTGCAGGAAAGATGAACGTTTTTGGCCAAGTCATTTTTGAGCTTTCCTTTTGCTTGTGTTAATCTAACCTGAGCTAGTTTCCCATTCCCAGGAATGATGGGATAGACCTCCAAGTCTTCATAATCTACAGCCAGATGTGGGGGGTAATCCCCTCCATGAAATTGTCCCATAATCCTGATGTTCAACTCAGAGCGTTGCTGAGTTTGCTGAGTTGCTTGGTTTAAGCCTCGGGGTTTTTTCCTGTTGAGTAGCAGACCAGATAGATATTCCCTTAGAAGTAGATGTTTAAACAGTTTCTTAAGAAGCCTTTAATTTTATTCTGTGTGCAAAATAAGCTAAGAAAATATTTATGCACCAAAATAAACCCACTTTCCTCTCTCCAAATAGCCATTCCCCGGGTGACGCTGGTCATGGCTAAGCTTGAACGTTCCCCCCTCCCCCGCATGAGATAAGCATCTTTTCCAAGTGGTTGAATAGGTTACAGGTAGCAAAACTAAGCTTCCCGTTTTTATTCCTGTGTGCTCGAAACAATACCAGAGCTCCAAACACTCCCTCCCACTCCCCCAACAAAAGTCCAATCAAGTCCAACAAAAGTCTCAATCCAGCCTGGATGTTATATATAAAGAACTAAAACAAAATGTTCTTGAAGGACCACGAGAGTCAGGTTTCAAGGAAAGTATTTTACAGTGTCCTCCTTCCACACTCAGGGATGCCACGCCGCGGGGTCCTCTCCACAGCGCCGTCACCGGCTGTGCCTTGGCCCCGGGAGAGGGTGGTGTTGGAGCAGTCACGTGCACGGAGGGCAGAGACTCCGCTCCGCGTGGGGGGTGTGAGATGCCGCCAGCGCGGTCCCTGGAAAGGCTGCTGGTTTCTGCGAGAGACCGTACAGATATTTTAAGACGCAGAACCTTTCAAAGGGTGCGATGTGGATTAATCTTAGGGAAAAGAAGCAGAACTGGGATTGTTTTTAAGCTCCCAATAAACTGACAAAGGGAGAAATCAAGAACGAGATGCACGGGGATTGCCGGGATACATACAAGATAATGCCCGAGGAATCCGGTGAGAACAGGAAGACTCCCCAGTCTCTGTAAATCTTCCTGGGTTACTATTTTGTGCCAGCTCTCAGCAGCAAAGCGTAATTGAGAAATTTCCGAAAACAGAGACATCTTCCCTTGTTGCAATAACTTGGCCTGTGAACAAACCACGCTCTGTTCTCAAAGTGAGAGCTCAAAAGTGTGATCGTTCTGCCGAGAATGTAATAGTTGCCAATGGCTCTAGAATATAAAAAATTGCATATATAACGGCAGATGCATGACATCTGCTTTAAAAAAATTCTCTATTGTGGGCTCTTAATAAAGTTCCTACAATGGAAAAATATGATCGCTAAAAATTACACCTTAGAATGCCCTCTGAAGGGCCAACCTAGGCTCTCTTAGGTTGCTTGTCTGGAACGTGCACTTCTGAGTAGACACATACATGCACACACGCGCATGCACACACACAACGTTCATATGGACAGAGGAGCCTTAATCGGTTCCGCCATTCCAGGAAAAGAACATGCAGCCTGCGTCCTCCAGCAGTAATGGGATGAATAGAAAGTTGTTTTGGTAGAACACATTTCCTGAAATAGCAACCGCCTGAGAAAGGACAATTGTGCCTCGGCTGTCCTTGTTAGATTGGAAAAGAAGCACCCTCTGTCTGCACGTCCTGGGGTAGAGAAGAGGTGGGCAGGCCGCCACCCTCACGACTGTGCTGCCCCCAGCCAAGGTAATTTCTGCCTGTCTCGGCCCCCAATGTCCTTTTGATTTGATTCCTTTTCTTCACTCCCTATTCTTATACCCATTCACATCCACACCTTCAGCCTTTGCCGTGACCTCTGATATCTGCCACCTCAAAGCCGACTGCCGGTCGGTGGATTTTTCACATCGCATCTTCAGCTCTTCGGAGGAGAAGCCTATTCGTGGACTAGCAAGAAGCTCAACCAATAAGTCAGCTCTTGCCCGGGTCCCCGGCCTGACTGCACCTGAACCTGAACCTGGCGGTGGCTACAGGCATGGACAATGACGTGCTTTGGCTGCACCGAGGCCAGGCTCGACGCCAAGGAAGGGGCCGTTCGTCCAGGAGGAGACACGGGAACCCAGTTTTGACGAGGAAAGCCACGCAAATGTTTATATTAGCCAGACTGGACATGCTCCAAGTCAGCCTGGGAGGAGGCTGGAGGGGGTGTGTGCGGGTGTGAGCGTCCGCCGCGGAGGTGGCATTTGCAGGTGTGATGGGATGGATGAAGCCATACTCGTGTAACTGACATGCACTAGTCGACCCAGGGGAAAAAGTAGGCAACGCCTTTTATTTCCCTCCCTTCCACTGATGGCTCCTTCTTTCCGTTTAAATGCAACAGGTAAGGAGGGAGGTGTTTTCCATGTGCTGCTAGGGCAGGTTACCAGCCTGGCTGCAGACAGGTGGACAGGTAGACAGGTGCACAGTGGGGAGGGTCACACGGCTTGCCACTCGGAGCGCCCTTGACAGTTTTTAACATTTCACTAGTTCCACGCGCAGCTCCAGCCCTGCCAGATCCCGCCAGATGTTGTGTTGGAGCTGCTGGGATTCAGAGCGTGAGTAACTCTGCATTTGCAACAGCAGAAATGGCCAGCCCCGGGCTGGTTTTCCCTGTGCCTCTCCCCTCTGCCTCTCTGACTCCGCAGAGCGGGCTTTTGTTGGCAGCCAGAGCATTTTCACCTCCCAGCGGCTGCCGCGGGGTGGGGGCTCTTTTGAGTGGAGATCAGCGGTGGCGGATGGGGGAGTGGGGCGCGGGAGGGGAGGGGAGGAGAGGGGGCCGCAGGAGCTGCAGCCTGGGATGCGCAGGGCGGGCGGGCGCCGTGGCCGGGAGGTGGTACAAGGAGAGTGGCCGCCCCTGGAGCGGGAAGCATGATCAGGCTGCCACGCAGGAAGCTGCAGAAACTGTTCCTCAGGAAGGTAAGGGTGAGAGCGCTGGCGTCGGGCCCTGGGGAGGTCCGGCCGTCTCTGTGCACGGCTGGGAGACCACGAGGGTGACAGCTGGGCCGTGGGACGGGTCCCCAGGCTGCTCCCCACGGACGGACACGCAGACGGGATTCTCAGCTCCTTAGCACGGGCCGGGTTCGCCAGGAGCAGGCTGCCGGCACGCGGGACCGAAGTGCCCGTTCCTGGGTTTGCCTTGTGTTTCAGGGTTTTGCTTCGGGTTAGAACCCGGCGAACTTAGCGTTGCCGTCCCCAAGTGTGTTTCCGTAATCGAAGGGAAGGGTGTCAGCCGTTTTCCTGCAATTCTAGAACCAAAGGGAAGAACAGGTGAGGAGGCTGATGTTTGTTTAAACTGTTACCGAAAGGTAAAGGTGAAGAGAGTCAGCTAAGGAGACCTGGCAGTTTACACTGTAAAACTTCCTTATTGTGGTGAAGTGTGCATGACATAACACTTACCCCCTTCACCATCTGCGGCTGTGCAGCCACCGCCCGCTCCCTCTGGGGATGTTTTCCTCATCCTAGGCAGGCACCCTGCACCCCGTGAACCCCGCTGCCCCCCACCCCGCAGCTGCCCGTTTCGAGGCGGTGGCCCCAGCACAGCCCGCCGTGTGCCGCAGGTGAGCAGGTGAGGGCCAGGCGCGGCCCGAACCGGGGCATGCCGAGGAGCTCTACGACCTGCTGAGAAATCGCTTCTTCTTATATCTTGCATGCCTTTTTTTCAAAAGGAAAAATATGAAAAAAAAAAAAGGCTCTAAAAATCACTGACCGACTGGTGGGCATATTCTTTATAAGTCTTAACATTTTTTTTTTTTGAAGAAAATCTGTGACTTTCCAACTACGTGCACATATTTTGGAGATGGCAAAAAAAAAAAAAATGTGCTGATTTTCTTGTTTTGTATGTGTCTGTAAGTATGTCTACCTGTTTACGCCGAGCTATATGCAGATTTGTGGTTGATAAATATTCTTAGGTCTGTGGATCTTTGCATATGAAAATATAATCTTAAGGTAAGAAAGCCGCCTATTAATATTCACTCTGAAATTACAAAATAATATTCGTAATGATTCTATAGGGGAATGAAAGTTGTTTGCTTGTATTGGGGGGTTAAGAAACTGAAGCATAAAGCGCACAAGCGAGCCGCCGCACTCTGCGGGCAGAGACGGCCCTCCGGGTGCCCGTCCCGCCGGCGAGCTCCCGCCCAGCCCAGCCCTGGCCGGTCACGCTGCTGCTCGCCCCGACGGAAATAAACCTCACCTCTGTGGCGTATTTCCGTACGGACCGCCCGTCCCATTCCCAGAGGACTTCAATCAAGTTAAATACATTCAAAACAGGACTAAAAAGGATAAGGCAGTGCCTACATGCAGGGGAAGGAAACAAGGCAGAAAAAGGAATACAGAGCCCGGCGCGAGCTCAGCGGCCCCCTGCTCGTGGGGAGGCGCCGCGCCAGGCTGCGGGGGCCGCGGGCTCACTCTGGGACGGCTGGCTGCCCAGGGAGGGGGACGGCACGCGGTCGGGGCAGGCCAGAGAAAACAACAAGAAGAAAAGCCCGACCTAGCTGTGCAGGCGAGCAGAGCACACCCGTTCCTGCTGCTGAGCCCTGAGGGGAACGCCCACAGGTCCTCTCGGGTGGGACGTGTGCGGGGCGGGAACCACGGCCGGGCGGCAGCTCTGTGCTGGGCGCGGCGCGTTCTTAGTGAGGCTCGAGTGCCGGGCTGGGGAGCGAGGCAGAAACGCAAAGCGCCGGTACCAGGAGCCCGCACTGCGCTCCGGGAGAACCGCTCCCTGGAGACCTGGCTGCACCCGGGGGCCCGCTGGAAGCCGCCTGGGACAGGTGACGGGCACCTCCAGACCCTCCTCCACCCTGTGACCGGCCGAGGGGTGGTACATTTCGTTAGCACTGAGCGGCTCTGAGTTCGGGTTTCTTGAGCAGCGCAGGACTGCAGGTTTTCTGTGTCACAGTTAGGAGCTGGGGACGGGGTCACAGGAACCACCGGCCCCCCTTGCCTCATTTCCCAGACAGGGAGGCCACTCCGGGGAGCCGAGGTGCCTCGCCCAGGGCCGCAGGGCGGGCGGGCGCTGGCATCTCAGAGCTCCTCCCTTCCTGCCGGGACGGTCCCGCACGGCGGTGGGGGTGTTCGGCGAGGCAGCCTGGGGACCGGGAAAGGGACCTCTGCCCACCTGCACTGCTTGTGCCTTGTCACTTTTGTATCTGACGCTCCGGCGTCTGGGCCGCTCAGACAGTGCGGGGGCAGCCCCTCCCAGGGCGAGCTCCTTCCTGGAGAGGAGGGACGGTCACCCAGGGGTGCCCTTCACAAACCAGCCGATCCTGAGCACCCCGCACCCAACCTCGGCCTCCCGCTCTCTGGGGCACGGCCCTCCTGCCCTCACTGCCCAGGGCCAGGAGCCAGGCAGCCAGGGCAGCCCCTGTCCAGCAGAGCCCCGGGAACCAGCGCCAGCCAGTCCTGCGCCCGCTCACCCCTCACCCGGCCCCTCCCCGGATGCCACCAGCAAGGCTCCTGGGTGACCCCTCCTCTTGGGCTCTGTGACAGTTGCCTCCTGATCTGCTGTCTTGCCAAGCCTGAATAATAATAAAAACTGCATTTTAAGCCTGGCACTTGTTTTTAAAACTGATAGTTTTATTTATTTAATACAATAAATTTAATAAAATAAATTCCAACCCACATGTTGTGGGAAGCGCAAAGGCAGGTGAGACCGAGTCCCCGTGTCTAAGAGACTGGCCCTGGCATGCAGACGGGCACAGGAGGGGTCTTAGCGGAAGGAACCGGGGTGACCTGGAGGAGGCGGGGCCGGGGAGGGTGTCGCGCCCCAGTCCAAGCCCGATCGCAGGCCTTTTCCAGAGTGTTGGTTCCTCGTCACTCTCGTGCCGGGGCCGGAGGTCTCTGAGCGTGATCGCCCTCGGAGCTGCAGGTGCGGGGCCGTCTGCAGGGGGAGGCCCCGAGCTTCTGCTCCGTTTCCATTATTGACCCTTGATATCTTGGGGCAAGCGAGGTCAGGGTACGCCCCCAGTTCCATGGATGTTAATGACTGTTTAACAACTACATTCAAGGTAGTCATAAGGGCTCCGTCCCAACTGCAGGCACATTAACACGATCTAAACAGCAGTCGAGATGCGCTTCTAGGGAGGTGCTGGACTCTCGCAGTGACGGCAGTTAAATCTGCTTCCCCGAGGACGGA